TGTGATATATCATCGTCTTAAGAGTTTTCCTTTGATCACCCATATTTTTCTAGAATTCCATCTTAACAGTTTACACACTATAAAAGGAAAAAAAAGAAACTGCTAAGATGGATGTCTAGAAAAATACAGTGGATAAAGGGAAACTTTTAAGACGATGATATATCGCACACGCGCGATTAAAATATGAAACTGTTGAAATGAACATCTATGTAAATACAATTGCAAAAAAATATTCACAAAACTTTGTAAGTTGCGCATAGCGCGTGATTAAAAAAAAAGAAGCCTCTCGCAAGCACGGAAGCACGTGCAGGGAGACTAGTATATATAAAATAAAATGTAGAGAACGGTGAAACATTCAAAATACCATAAAATGCCCTTGGTTAATTCAAACATTAAGAATTAAATTTATTAATTAAATGAGGATAATATGGTAAATTCACATTTTTTATATTAAAAAATTTAAAATTAAAAACAAAATCAGATAATAGGTCTTACTTTTATGGAACATAACTACCCATATTATCTTTTCTTAATTCTAAAAATAAAATTTTAAATAAAAAATAAATAAATAAATAAAACCAATTGGCACATGTGTGAGTATGTGCCAAGGGGCTAGTATATATAAAGTAAAAGGCAAAGAATGGTGAAACATTCAAAATACAAGAAAATGCTATTAGTTAATGCAAACTTTAAGAATTGAAATTATTAATTAAATGATGATAATATTGTAAATTCACACATTTTCATATTTAAAAAATTAAAATTAAAAGAAAAATAAGATAATGAATCCTATTTTGTATGAAACACAACTACCCATTATCTATTTTAATTCTAAAATTAATTTAATTTAATTTTTTTTTTAAAAGCCTCTCGCAGGTGCTGAAACACATGCAGAGAGGCTAGTTATCTATTATTTCATTATTTTATAAATATAGTAACATACATACATTTTTACATTGAAAAAATAACGTACCTATTACTCCATATATATATATATAAAGCAAAAGGGAGAGAATGGTGAAACATTCAAAATACCATAAAATACCCTTAGTTAATTCAAACATTAAGAATTGAAATTATTAATTAAATGAGGATAATATGGTAAAAATTTACATTTTTTTCATATTTAAAAAAATAAAAATAAAAACAAAATCAGATAATAGGTCTTACTTTTATTGAACATAACTACCCATGTTATATTTTCTTAAAATAAAAAATAAAAAATAAAAAATAATAAAATAAAATAAAATAAAAAAACCAATTGGTGTGCCAAGGGGCTAGTGAAAAATAATGTACCTAGTATGAATTTACTTATTATTCTAATAATATACCCAACTTTTATAAACATATTTTGGATATAATTTACCTAATAATTGACTATTATGTAATAATATAACTTGTAATTTATCTATTATGGGTATATCATAGTTATTTTGTGAAAATAATTTACCTACACAACTTTAATAGGTACATTGACAATTATGTACCTAGTACGAATTTACCTAACCCTAGGAGGTTAGGAGAGAATATTTGAAGTAAATTGATTTTAGCCCATTATTTATGGGAGTGGAAACATAAATGTGCAGTGAGGTATTATTCATTTGTCTTAGTATGGTGCATTTTCGTCCAGTCTTTGTTCAACTCTTTATAAAATTATCTCCAAGATCATTGTGGCTAGATTGAGGTCTATTTTGCCAATTCTATTAGTCCTAATCAGGTTAGTTTTGTGCCTAGAAGACATATTATAGACAACATTCTTATTGCCCAGGAGTTTATGCATAAGTTCAAGGTTTCTAAGGCCAAGAAAGGGATTATGGCTTGGAAGATTGATCTCTCTAAGGCTTATGACAGATTGAATTAACATTTTATTAAGGTGGTGTTGATTGAATTGGGTTTGGCAGGGGCTTTAAAGAGGTTGATCATGCATTGTGTGTCTACTGTCAAGTGTTAGATTTGCATTAATGGAGAGCTCACTAATTCTTTTACTCCTATGAATGGTATTAGGCAAGGGGACCATTTATCCCCCTACTTGTTTGTGCTGTGTGTTGAAAAACTTTCTCACATCATCTTTGATTTGGTTCAAAAAGATAGTTGGAAAGCTGTTAAATCGTCTCAATCTAGGCCTGTGGTTTCCCACCTATTTTTTGCAACGATCTTATTCTTTTTGCTGAAGCCTCTGTTAAACAAGCTTGAATTATGAAGGATTGTTTGGAGCTTTTTGTCAAGCTTCAGGAAAAATTGTAAACTATGATAAATCTGTTGTTTTTTGTTCCCCCAATACTCCGAAGGAGGTGGCTAAGGAGATTAGTTGTATTTGTGGCTCTCCTCGGACTAGTGATTTGGGCAAATACTTAGGCATGCCTCTTCTACATACAAGGGTTACTCACGCTACCTATAAGAAGTTGCTTGATAGGGTGCACAGTCGGTTGGCTTCTTGGAAAGACAAACTGGTCTCTTATGTAGGTCGCCAACTTTAATCCAAGTTGTGACTTCCTCTATTCCTATTTATGCTATGCAAACTACTAAACTCTCTATAAGTGTTTGTGATGAGTTAGATCGGTTGAATAGAAATATTTTTGGGGAGGCAATGAAAAGCGAACCAAAGCTTTGTTAGTGGAATTTGGTTTGTCATCCTAAGAGTAAAGGAGGGTTGGGTTTTAAGAAGTATTCTACTATGAATCAAGCCTTGCTAGCTAAGATTGGTTGGAGGATTCAAAACAAGGATTGGTGCTTTGGGCTAGGATTTAAAAGGCCAAATACCTTAAAGGTACGTCAATTTTAGAGTCCCTACCCACAAAGCAGGTTTGTTCCTCTACTTGGAGGGGTATTTTGCATGGGTGAAGTTACTATCTAAAGGTATGTTGTGGAGGATTGGGGAAGGAGATATAATTAGGTTTTGGCAAGATAGGTGGCTGAATGGAAGACCTCATTTTAAACAAGAAGGGGTTTTGCAAGTTGGGGATGTGACCTGCAATGTCTCCAGTTTTTTAAAGGGGGATTGGTGGGATATTGACAAATTAAGGGCAGTTTTGGATGAGGATTTGGTTCAACAAATTATTTGCATCCCTGTGGGCATGACTGGTGTAGTTCCTAATGCTCAAATTTGGGGGCCTGCTGCAAATGGTATGTTCTCTGTAAAAAAACTGCTTATATTATCTTGTTTCATGGTAGTGAGTGGCCTTCGTATGACTAGCAGTTCTTCCATAAATTGAAGATTCCCCCTAAGCTTCAAATTTTCCTTCGGCTGATTTTTTAAGGCAAAATTTTGTCTAATGAGCAGGGCTAGGAGGCATTTGACTGCTGATCCTGCCTGTAACTACTATAATTGACCAATTGAGTCCATTTTGCATATTTTTAAGGACTGTGAGAGGGCTACTAGGGTTTGGCATGCTATGCTTTAAGGGACAAATTTGTCCTGGTGCTCATTCCCATTTCTTCCAGATGGATTTCCATCGTTTCAATCTAATCTTTTGTCTAAAGCTATGTAGGGTGAATATTTGCCATGCACTTCAGTTATTGTTTTAACTTGCTGGATCTTATGGAAATGGAGAAATAATCATATTTTTAATATAGATGATGAGGTCAGTTATGAGCCCAAGAAGATTATTGTTGCTGCTGTAAGGGAGTAGTCTACGACTAGCCAGGTTGGTGATACAAAGGCTCCTAAAATTCTTCTTTTGCTTGCTTGGAAACCTCCTAACCTCGGGCAGTTTTTCAGACCAAAAAAAAAAAAAAAAGCTCGGGCAGTTTAAGCTCAATGTGGATGAGTCTAGAAGGTGTGCTTCAGGCTTTATTCACTACAAAAAAAAAGTGGCAACAATCACCATTATTTGGTGACATTTTGTGATACTAATGTGGGGGTTACTATAAAGGCTTTATAGTGTGGTGACTGTCACCAAATAATGGTGACTATTACCACTTTTTTTTTTTTTTTTGGTAGTGATTGGTGCTGGCTGGAGGAGTGATTCATAATTCCTTAAGGGATTGGGTTAGTGGTTTTGCTGTGATCCTTGGCAAGGGGTAGATTCTGGAGGCTGAAGTTTGGGGCTTGTTTTTTGGTTTGCAACTTGCTATTGCTAAAGGCATTCGTAGGCTCAGTGTAGAAATGGATGCTGCTACGGCTGTAATCCTAGTTCAACAGCATGCTAGGCTTGGCTCTCATCCTCTAGCCTTCTTGACTGCTGTTGTTGTGCAATTGTTAGACAAATACCAAAATCTTGGGAAGGAGACCAGGTCAAATACCAAAATAACAGTGTACATAATAAAATAATAAATATTTGTCAATTCTAGCGATGCATAGAATTGATAAACAAACCAGTCAACAAAATGAGTGAGGAAAGGAATGTGCTAAGATGAAAAGCAACGAAACATAGGTCTTCTAGTGATGAATTCTTCCTCACTTCGGTATCTTCTAAGAAACCCATCACCCATCATCCATATCCTTAATAAACACTATGCCAAAAATTGAAAACAACGTCCGTGGAAAACCATCGTGATTCAAGGTGAAAATGATTGAAAGATTATACTATTATGTAAAATTATAATTGAGTGAAAGATTATACTATTAGGTGTTGGTTAGGCATGACATGCATATTCTCCTTTTGGCTCCAATAGCCGGCCGGCTTTATTTTTAAATTTTTCCATAACCAACGACATTAATTTTAATTATAAGAAGGATTAATTGTTCCACAACCGCAGGACAGATAACCTACCGTTTAGGACATGCCACAAAAAAACATTATGCATATGACAAGGTTTGGTTTTTGTTCTTAACCTAGCAAAGCATATATATGTATGCACACCTCTCTAAACCTAAATGAAAGTTGTTTGTAAGTCGCCATATATACCTCCTTCGAGAGAAGAATAAAAAATCCCAGAAACATTCCTAGATACCAAATCTTCACTGCCTACGTTAATTCGATTCTCTTCAAGAAGTAGCTAGAGACTAGTATATATTAATTAGTTTGCTTAAGTGTACTTAAAGGGTAATTAAGGCAGCCATGGCTCCAGCTGCTGCCGGAGAAAGGTCTTTAAAAGAGACACCCACATGGGCTGTTGCCATAGCCTGTGCAGTTTTCATACTTATTTCTATAATTATAGAACAAGCAATTCATGCTCTTGGGAAGGTATGTACCTAATACGTATATCTACATGTATAACGCAGGATTTTAAATGTCTTTCCATGATTTTAATGTTTACTTTATAATGACAGTGGTTCCAGAAACGCAATAAGAAAGCTATGCTAGAAGCTTTGGAGAAAATAAAAGCTGGTCAGTTTAATTTTTATATAATTACTTACATTAATTATGCTAATAATTTTTTTTTTTTCTCTAGTGTGATGATAATTTTCATATGATTTGTTATGGGTGCATATGCACGCAGAGCTCATGCTTTTAGGATTCATATCTCTGCTGCTTACGGTGGGCACAAGATATCTTCCAAAAATATGCATCCCAGAAAAGTATGGTAATACGATGCTACCATGTGAGCTAGAGAGCAAGTATAAAGAGGATGGGGGCGGCAAGGATGATGGCAAAAACAAAGGAGGAGGAGGAGGAGATGGCGGTGATGATAATGACAGACGACGAAAGTTACTTGAATTTGCTGAAACCATGATATGGCGTCGAGTTTTAGCCCCTAGTGGAGGAGATTCCTCTGCTTGCTCAGAGGTGCGTACGTAATAATTAATTCATTAAATCAACATTAATATTATAATATGCACCTAATTAATAAAATGAACTAATTAAAAACAAAATATAACCATAAATATTAACATATCCAAGTGCATGATGAAATTTTGTAATAGGTCAAATTGTCACGTAAACTATTAAATTCAAATATAATCTTTTTGCATTTGATGCTCTTAAATATTTTGTACATATGTGTACTGTAGGATAAAGTGCCGCTGATATCTCCATCTGGGATGCACCAATTGCACATCTTCATCTTTGTGCTTGCTGTTTTTCATGTTGTGTACAGTGTCATTACCATGGCACTAGCGCAGGCCAAAGTATGTACCATCACACTGTGACACATACAACTATGTGCTCTATATTTATACACATAGCCTAACGCATGAATTTGGAATTACAACTTAAAAAGTATGTTTTCTTATTTGACTGTCTGACAATATAAATTGTTCGCATTCCCGAATGAACTGGATCATTTATCATATTTGTTCATTTTTTAACGTAATTCCATGTATATATGTATTTGGAGTATGGCAAGAAATTCAGGAATTGCAACTTATGCAATAGTAGTATTAGCCTACAAAGAACTTACTAGTGTAGTGATTTGGAACAATTGTTCTCTCAAAAAAGGTCGTGCTAGTCTTAGCATCGGTGTAATTTGTGTCTGAATTTAGTATGTTATCGTTCATCTCAATAAGAAATGTCCTAAAAAAACAGTAGTATAATTTGATAAAATTGATAAAATATGATTTAGCCTTATTATTTATTGTAGTAGGTAGTTTGAATGGGGTCAGAATTTGGGATCCAATAATGAAGCATTAGAATATATTTATACTTCTGCATCTTAAAATATATCTACACTCGGCCTTTTCGGCTCGTAATTTTGTGGCTTGGCAGTTCTCTAGCCCTGGCATGGAAATGTGATATGAGGACTGGACCACCTCAAAATCTTTTTGGATAGTAGAATTCCCATATATATTTCAAATAAAAGTTCATAAATTAGTTAGAAATTATGTACTTTATTGTGATATTAAAATAAATTTTATAAAATTCATTGAACAATAATCCAAAATTTTCCAATCGTTTCACAGAAACAAACTTGACAAAAAAAAAAATGAAAAAAAGAAGAAGGAATCTATAGTTGTTTAATCGGCTCTTCTGTTGACTAGATGAAGAAATGGAAAGCTTGGGAATCAGAGACATCGTCCTTGGAATATCAATTCACAAATGGTATTAATTAATATTTTATTTTAAAATAGTTGTTCTTTTAGTGTTTGTTTCATGACTTTTTCTTCATCTCTCCTTCTTGTGCTTGCTGTTTTTCATGTTGTGTACAGTGTCATTACCATGGCACTAGCGCAGGCCAAAGTATGTACCATCACACTGTGACACATACAACTATGTGCTCTATATTTATACACATAGCCTAACGCATGAATTTGGAATTACAACTTAAAAAGTATGTTTTCTTATTTGACTGTCTGACAATATAAATTGTTCGCATTCCCGAATGAACTGGATCATTTATCATATTTGTTCATTTTTTAACGTAATTCCATGTATATATGTATTTGGAGTATGGCAAGAAATTCAGGAATTGCAACTTATGCAATAGTAGTATTAGCCTACAAAGAACTTACTAGTGTAGTGATTTGGAACAATTGTTCTCTCAAAAAAGGTCGTGCTAGTCTTAGCATCGGTGTAATTTGTGTCTGAATTTAGTATGTTATCGTTCATCTCAATAAGAAATGTCCTAAAAAAACAGTAGTATAATTTGATAAAATTGATAAAATATGATTTAGCCTTATTATTTATTGTAGTAGGTAGTTTGAATGGGGTCAGAATTTGGGATCCAATAATGAAGCATTAGAATATATTTATACTTCTGCATCTTAAAATATATCTACACTCGGCCTTTTCGGCTCGTAATTTTGTGGCTTGGCAGTTCTCTAGCCCTGGCATGGAAATGTGATATGAGGACTGGACCACCTCAAAATCTTTTTGGATAGTAGAATTCCCATATATATTTCAAATAAAAGTTCATAAATTAGTTAGAAATTATGTACTTTATTGTGATATTAAAATAAATTTTATAAAATTCATTGAACAATAATCCAAAATTTTCCAATCGTTTCACAGAAACAAACTTGACAAAAAAAAAAATGAAAAAAAGAAGAAGGAATCTATAGTTGTTTAATCGGCTCTTCTGTTGACTAGATGAAGAAATGGAAAGCTTGGGAATCAGAGACATCGTCCTTGGAATATCAATTCACAAATGGTATTAATTAATATTTTATTTTAAAATAGTTGTTCTTTTAGTGTTTGTTTCATGACTTTTTCTTCATCTCTCCTTCTCCATCTTCATCATTTTTCTAACATTTCCCAGAATTTCTGACACGATTTTAATTAGATATCTCTCTTAAAAGGGACAATAAAATCTGAAAACAAAAACCAAAGTGCTATAAACCGAATTGCAAATTATATATGTTATTTCATGTTTCAGACCCTTCAAGGTTCAGGTTCATTCGACAAACTTCGTTTATAAAGCGTCATTCAGGCTTTTCTACAATGCCTGGAATAAGATGGATTGTAAGTTAATTAGTAAACTAATGTGTGCAATTATTGGAACTTAACCAAAGCTCTTAGATGCACTTACAGAACCCCTACTACATATATGTACACTGTAGGTGGCATTTTTCAGGCAATTCTTTGGTTCAGTTACGAGGGTGGACTATATGACCATGCGCCACGGATTTATCAATGTAATTATCAATTCCCTTTTTTCCTTTTTTTTTTCTTTTTCTTTTTCTTTTTTATGAACTACGTACTTTTCTTTTTATTTTATTTTATTTTATTTTGTTTTGTTGTGATATAGTTTTGGCCCAAACCTAATCGGCAAATGCATGCATGCAGGCACATTTTGCTCCAAATAGCAAATTTGATTTCCATAAGTATATTAAGAGATCCATGGAAGATGACTTCAAGGTCGTCGTGGGTATTAGGTCTCTCTCTCTCTCTCTCTCTCTAGCTTCCTTGTACTGCTATAACTATTGTTATTAATTTAATTTCTTGATTTTGCAGTATACCACTATGGATTTTTGCCGTGGTGTTTTTGGTTCTAAATGTTCACAGTGAGACTCTCTCTCCTTCTTTTCTCTCTCTTCCAAAACAGACACAGACACACAGATATCACAAGGTGCTTGGTGTTGGTGGTCAATATATTATTGATAAATTTAAATGCTGACAAATATATACCCCCTATTTTACAGAATGGCACACGTTCACTTGGTTGTCATTGGCGCCACTCGTTGTAAGACCACGAAATCCAAGCTCTAGATATATTATATATAGTGCTAGCTTCTTCTTCTTCTTCAAGTCATATATATAAATATTTTCTCCTATTAATTTGTGCAGATTCTTCTTTTAGTGGGTACAAAGCTTGAGCTTATCATCATGGAGATGGCTCAAGAAATGCACGATCGAACTACAGTGGTTAAAGGCACTCCCGTTGTAGAGCCAAGCAACAAGTTTTTTTGGTTTAATCGCCCCGAGTGGATTCTCCTCTTAATTCATTTCACATTATTCCAGGTGAGAGCTATCATAGTAAATTTATTATATTGTCAGACTGTAAATATGAACCGACCATCCATATGGTCTAAAATACATATATATATGCATATAGGAAATGCTATGGATCAGTATGGTTTCTGACAATTAATTGGTTTGCTTGCTGCATACACAGAACGCTTTTCAAATGGCGTATTTCTTATGGACATCTGTAAGTAATTAACCATAAAGCAATACTAATGTAGTTCATTATTATATTGGTAATTAAGTGCACTGTCTCAACTGTATACTAACTATACATACTATGATATATATATATATATATACACACACGATGCAGTTGGAATTTGGGTTGACATCATGCTTCCACGAAAACTTGCCTCTGATACTGACAAGGGTTTTCCTTGGGGTAGCCCTACAGATCCTATGCAGTTACATTACCTTCCCTCTTTATGCTTTGATTACACAAGTGAGTATTTCAAATTAAACAACCCTAGCCTTGCCTCTTTCAGTAATATGTATGCAGGCTTTCATATTCATTTTTTTAATACAAATGATAATTTAAATTACTCTAAAGTAATATAATGTATTGGGAGAGGGACTCGAACTTGGGTGCAAGGGAGTGGGCTCAATGGTCTGGCCAGCTGACTTAACCCACATTTGCACAAGCTTTCATATGAGTGCTGCTATTTCCACCCCCTTGTTCTATTTCCCCACCCACTTTATATTCAAAATTTTAAAGACAAATTACCCTTTTGTAAAATGACTTCTAAGAACCAAGGGGAAAAAACCTTTTTAAAGCATTTCAAATAAATAAAATTAAGTAAAATAAAAAAATTTAAAATAAAAACTCTCTCTGTCCTCTCTCCCCCTTCCTGACCTGTTGGCTTCTTCCTCAGAGGTCTTTCATCCTCGGTGCTAGAAGCCACTGCCACCAGAACACCAAAAACAACAAGCCCAGATGAAAGGGTTCTCTCATTTCACAACTTAGTTGCATTTTGAATAGATTAGAGTTTGTTTTGGGGCGGCGATGAAGCACTTGGACTCCATTGTTTAAGTAAGCTAACTCCTTTGCTTTGGCAAAGTCAACAAATGAAATTCCACAATTTCTCCATCGTCCCTGCCCTCCCCCCCACCCACCCTCCCTGCAATTTCTCACCACACCCACCCCCTCCGCAATCTCTATGTATCGGTTCTAGATCCCCATCCTTCTTGAAATTTGGGTTTCTGCCAAAAAGAAAAAGAAAAATAAAAAGAAAAATGAAGACATAATTATCATCTTCATAATTTTATTATTATTTTTATTATTTTTTTGCAGAAGGAGTTATTGCAAATAATAAAATTAATTAAAAATATAGAACATGGATGTGGTTGAAGGTGTAGAAATCTGTAGGGTGCGGGGGAGGAATCTGGGTTGGGGTGGGAGGTGGGGGTGGCTGCAGGCATAGGCGGAGCCAATTGAGGCCCACAAGGGTCACTCAACCCTTCTCAACATTTTGAAAATATTATATTTATCTATGTTATCCAAGTTGTTTTATAGTTATACTTACTATATTGACCCTTCTCACAAATGTAAATTATCTACAATGAACATGAATATAATCTATATTTGTTTTCATGTCTTCATATGTTATTTATGTGTGTGTGTATGTGTCATGGATTTTATTTGATTTTCTCATTCTATCTAAAATCAATTTTTGATACTCTTTCATTATTTTTAGGTTGCTAGAATTTGGCTTATACTTACTAAGATATTAAATTTTTGATATTGAAATTTAAACACTATAATGAATTCTTATATATATTTTCTTATAAAAACTAAGTTCATCGTAATTATAAAGCTATTTAAAGTTGACCCTCGTTGATAGAATTTCAAGCTCCGCCACTTGCTGCAGGTGGGAGAAGAAAAACTGGATGTTGACTGTTGGGTTTTCCCTAGAGGAGGAGGAGGGGAGAGTTTTTGTTTTTGTTTTTTATTTTTATAAACTATTATTATTTTACTTTAATAATTTAATGATGAGTGGAAAGATAGAATTGTGTATTTCAATTTTACATGGTGGGTGACAAGATAAAGTGGGTGAAAACACTTTTTCAAACTAAGTGGTCATCACTCATTCTTTCAAATAACACCCTAATTTGGAAGAGCATTTTAGTTACAAGCACCTGAGGGAAAACAAAGAAAAAACAAAACTCTTTTTCGAGTAATTAATTTCTCTATAATGTAATTAATTACCTATATTTATGCATGCATGTATCTTATCTTAACGTGCAGATGGGATCTCACATGAAGAAAGCAATTTTCGAGGAGCAAACGGCAAAAGCTCTTAAGAATTGGCAGAAGGCTGCAAAGCAGAGAAAGAAGTTGAGGAAAGCTACAGGCGATGCTTCTTCCTCAGGATTTGTAAGTGGGGAAAATACACCAAGCCAGGGTTCATCCCCACTGCATCTACTTCACAACCAAAAGCACAGGTCCAATCAATCTGACCTCGAAAGCGTCCTTAATTCCCCAAGATCGGTATCTTATCAATCTGACACCGATCTCTCGGAGATGGAGGGCTCCGCACATGATGGGAATGGTATCAGAAGATCAGAAGATCAACCTGCAGCACTGATCGCTTAGTGTTGATTTTTCATTTGATAAGCCTTGATTTTTTTTTTCCTCAGCAAATAGTAACTATGACTTTCAAATTTTAAGGCGCATGATCGAACTCTAAAATTTAGTTTAGGGATAAATTCTCTTACCATCATTAGGAATTAGCTCGTTGATTAAGCCTTAAAATTAAAAATGCTCAAATTTTGAGGGACTTCGTCCATAAACATTCTAGAAATTTTGAGAATTCCGTCTCACCAAAAATATGAAATTTTCGGTGAAATTTCGAGGAAAATTTTGATTCTTAAGACCTTAATTTATACCCAAAAAAGAAAAGAAAATGGAGATTCATTATTATACCCAATATAGGAGCCCAAATTATAAAAATATCATATGAAATGGATTTTAGAAACACACCCAAAGCCTATTTACAATATAACCAAGAGGCTTTAACTTATTATAAATTACAAAAATGCCATCAATTTCTGAAAACAAGCCCAACCCCAAAACCTAATATAAAAAAAAAAACTCAAAATACTCAATAGGGTATCAAAGTAATTTAATAATCAAACTTAAATTCAATAGGGTCTGCTGTTATTTTTTGAGTTTGTTTGTAGAAATTCAATTGTGTATGATTTATTTATATTATTAGTGCTAAGAATGAGTATATCACTAAATATCTCCACACACAAAATTCACAATGACTTCACCGGATGTCAAGCAACCGTCTATAGGAACTTCTCCACGAGAAAGAGAAGAAGAAAAAAAAATATATAAAAAAAATAAAAAAATAAAAACCTAGTTATACTACGAAAACAACAGATTCGGACCTAAGGTCCTAAGACAAAAGAACCAAGGCAGAAAATTGTTATCAATGCCTGAAGTGAAAAGAAGTGGAACTCCATACTTGTTACAGCAGTCTATAGCATACTTAAGTCTTAAGCTCCAGCGAAATGGTAAAACAAAAAATCAATATGGAAAAAGAGTTTCAATTTTATTTTTAGATAGAAAGCCCTTCCATTTTCTCGAGAAACAAACAGAAAAGGAATCATTGCAAATAGGAGAGCGATGAGGAGGGAGAAAGAGGGAGCTTCTACAATGAGGACTTAAAGTGAGGAGGTTATTTGAGGAGACCGATCCGACAGTCAAAACATTTAAAATATTTAAGTCCCATGATTTCTTTACATTTGTTGATGGTGAGATTTGACCTCCTCAAATAACCTCCTCACTTTAAGCCCTCATTATAGCCTTTCCGGGGAGAAAGAATGTATGGCATTGAGAGTAGCAAATCTTCTTGGGCTTGACATCGTTAGGGGAGAGAGTGTGGCCTGGACTAGAGATCGCTGAAGAGAGCGACACCATAGCCTCTCACAAAGAAATTGGAGTTGGGTTAGGAGTTTTTGGTGGGTCTAAGTGAGGTTGGTACTTAGATGAATGAGGTAAATTAAAAACCACATTGGATAGATGTATAACAATAATGATTAAATAAACCTGGAGACAATATGACTAGTCAACAACTAGTCACAGACCTATGAACATATATAAGCATAACACATACACACAACATATCTAATATTCAAATCCCTACAAGCCTAGAAGATAACTAGGGGTGGGCATTCAAACCGGCAAACCAGAAATTCGAGCCAAACAGTACCCAAAAAAAGGGGAAAAAAACCGAGTTGACAAAAAAGTCAACAACCAGTCAAAAAACCGAACCAGACCGATTCTAACTGATTTTGGTTCCAATTTCATGCTTTTAAAAACCAGACCGGTCAAATTAAAATATATATAATTAGATATTGTTAAACATTTTCAGCAAGCCCAACTCCACTAAAAATCAAATAAATAAATAGGCCCAGCTTTATTTTTAACCATCTCACAGCCCAACTCTATTTCTTAACAAGGCCCAACTCTTTATACTTATTTGTACCACTCTCCCTTAACCATTTCTCTCAAGGTCTAAAATATCGAGAGTTTCGGAAATATCAATAGTCCAAAAACACGGATATATCGATGGAAATATCGAGGAAATATCGACATCGATAAAAATTGAATAAAAATCACGGAAATTGTGAGAAAAACTCGGAAATTTTTATTGTAACTTTAGAGGATGTTTATTTAGTCAATTGACTATTATTTTATCACAAAAAATTGGAATAAAATGCATGGCATGGTGGGTTTGAGTGATTTAAGTTGATTATGTAGCGATCTGACAAACACCGTGTCTTTAGAAAATATGTAGTAATTAGTGAAAGAAAATTAAACACACCATAATTTTTTAGTTATAATAATTTACTACAATATATTACATATGATAATATATATGAGCTTGGAATATATACATATATATATATATGAGTAACTTAGTACCACATAGAAAGAATTCGTTAAAACTTAGTATCACATATAATGAACAATATTAAAACTCAATAGTGAATAATAATACAACTCCATAATAAAATAATAAATAACATTAAACATATGCCTAAATTTATCATTAGGGATTTTTTTTTTAATGGAAATTTATCCTAGATAATATTAGCTTGCATAAATTTTAAAGACCATATAAATATTACACATCGTAGTTTAAGTAGTTAAGAGCATTTACCTTTGCACCCGAAATTTTAAATTCAATTTATTATCGTGTACTTGGGTTGGCCAAAAAAAAAAAAAGCTGGGGGAAATACATGGTCATGTAAACCATCATAGTTGCATGTAACATGACCATTAGCATCAAACGGATATGATAGTAAAAGTGTGAACTATTCATAGTCTGCTGTCAAAGTGCGTTGCACCAAGGTTGAAATGGTCAAAGTATATTGCACTTAAGATAAATTTGTCTTTTGTCAAACACACACTCGAAGACGCTCTCACATCCCAAAGCCTTAATCTCTGTAAACCTAAAATCCCCAATCCCCTCTCTTTCGCTTACGCATATACAGAAAAAAAGCCATGGCTCTAGTGAGACCTGGATCAGGGTTAGCCCAGCCGACGAAGCTTCGATGGGGAGAGCTCGAAGAAGACGACGGCGAGGATCTGGACTTCCTCCTGCCGCCGAAGCAGGTGATTGGGCCCGACAAGAACGGGATCAAGAAAGTGATAGAGTACAATTTTCATTTATTTTGCAGTTTTATATCGCGATATTATCGATATTATCAATAATATTACGATATAATGCCCAAATAAAGCATGAAAGAGTAGGAAATTATCGACTCTAATATTATCGCGATAATATCGATGAAAATATCGATATATTGATGATATTTAAATGGATATGTGCTATAATAACGTCCATTAAAAAAAACAATATTATCGGCGATATTTCGCCAATAATATCGATATTTAAGACTCTGGTCTTACCCTAGCCGTCCCCTCCATCATCTCTCTTTCCAAAAGTTGATTTTATTCTTCTTATTCTTCTTCTTCTTTCCTCTGCCGACTTTTCTTCTCTGTATTATTTTTTTTCCTACTTCTTCTTTCTTTTTCTTTTTCTTCTTTTCTCTCCTCTCTATTGCCAACTTTTCTTCTTTCATTTTTCTTCTTCTTTTCTCTCCTTTCTCTGCTACCGACTTTTCTTCTCTTGCTTTTTTTTTCCTTTTTTCTTTTTCTTTTCTTCTTCTTTTCTCTCCTATGGCTGCGACTTTTCTTCTTCTTTATTTCTTCTTCTTCTTTTCTCTCTTATGTGATGTCGACTCTTTTTTTTTTCTTCTGCTGCCGACCTTTTATTTTCCTCTCCCACTCCTGCTACCGCAGCACATTCCCTGTACCTCCATCGCCTTCCATTGGCTCCAGTCCCCACATGCATCCGAGCCCAGCTACTTGCACGAGCCAGCATAGCTCCAGCTCCAGCTCTCTCCCTAGAGTCTCTCTCCTTCTCTGAGCACGCTGCCAAGACAGCATCTTGTAGATCTTGGGGACTTGTTTCATTGTACAGCGAGATTGTAGATCTGATGTAGATTTAGGAAAAATATAAAAACAAAAACAGAGCTGGGATTGTAGATCTGGGAAAACAAAAACAAAAAAAGAGTTGGGATTGTAGATATGGGAAAAAAAAAAAAAAAAACAGAGCTGGGATTGTTTGGCGGTCCAAACAGGGAAAACCAGAACCGAACCGGATTGGTTAGGTTGAGCAATTAAATTTTCATTAAAATCAGACCGGACCGGACCGAATGTACAGTACGATTTCAGTTCTAATTTTGACTAAAATTGTGCTAAACTGAACCGTGCCCACCCCTATAGATAACTACGTGACAACCTAGGCACTCAAAATGACCCGTCAATCTAGGCATTCCCTGTGCTAGCAACAACTAGACTGATAAGTTTGTGAACATTCATTAGCATTCCAGATATAACACATACATTATGCCTAGGCATATAAATTAGAGAATCTCACTAGAAGTGTTTACGTAGAAACCCACCATTGGGAAAAACTGGGGGTCATCACTCCGACCAAGCAATCGACTAAGTAAAGAAGGTTCTTATAGAAAAAGTAATCACAAGCTCAAGCAATCCTAGGTCTATTTAGGAAATGAGCACTAACTTCATGTGCAACCTTCTTCTCCAAACTTAGTTGAGCTAATAGCTTGTCCTTCATTAAAATGGCAATTAGTCTATCAGCTTCTTCACCCCATGGCACAGCAACTCAGCTTCGAATTGATAGATTGATGAATATGTAGATTCAATGAATAAAAGATCGACTTCTTCAAGAAACCATTCTTGAAGAAATTCATCCAAGAATTTGATCTATATATGAATGAGAATGTGTTTAATTATCCTAGATGCATTTTTTTTTTAAACAAAGCTGATTTCAAACACAATTTGAAAATCTAATTTTGGAAACCTTGACCTCACACATCTTGAAAATGCAAAGCATGAATAAGCTCTCAAAAATTCTCAATGCATGAAGTAGATTTCAAAAACCCAGAAGAAGATATAAAAATTATTTCAAAAATCTCTTTTTGAAAAAACCTCATACTTTACTCATCTCGCCATTTGTAGAGGAGAAGAAGAAGAGGACTCTTTTTTTCTGT